TGCTGCTTGGCCTGCTGTGTTCATCCAGCCCTGCACCTTGTTGTCTCAGAACCTCTGATACTCCTGTTTATATCTGTCAGCCAGGACTCCCTGTTTGGACTAGATTAACAGGTCCAATCAGGGAACTCATATCCTGTAAAATTCACCTTTCTGACATTGCTTCAATAGTTAAATCCCTCCCCCTTTAAGTCCTGGGACGTAGGCCCATTCCTTTTCCCACAGCTACTCCTGGGGCATTTTCGCAAGTCCGGTTCATTTGACTGTGCATCAGATACTGCCGACATGTACCGAACCATAGCCCGCCTTTGTGCCTGGAATGTCTAGGAAGAAATTCTTCTTCTTCAGGCAGTAACAGCATCAGCTGTGTCCACCTCAGTCTTGTTGGTTTCTTCGAGGCTAGGTGGAAGGGGAGGACCCATGGGTTCTGACAGCCTTGCTGGATGTTCTGAGGGGCCGGGTACACTTTGCTCCTGCCCCATTTGTGAAGTTGAAGCTTTCATATGGTCCACTTGTTTGTTCAGGACCGTCTCTCCTACCTGAACTTTGTACATCACAGGACCTGACCTTCTGTCGACCACGCCTCTTACCCATGCAAGGCAATTCCTGTGGTTTCGACACCAAATCTCGTCCACCGAGATAAACTGTCTCTCTCGCTTAGGGGAGTCTTGCATCCGGCATTGGTACTCCTATTGCTGATTCACCCTCCCCCCAGGTCAGGGAAGATCAAGTTTAACATGGTGTGGAGTCTTGACCCCATTAACTACTCTGCTAGAGCTGTCCCTGTAGTTGCGTGAGAGGTGCTCCTACTATTAAACAGGAATTGGGACAGTTTGGTATCAACTGCAACTATAGGCTGTTTCTTTAGGCCTATCCTCAAAGTTTGGACTGCTCTTTCCACCAGACCATTGGTCAATGGATGGTATGTTCTTAAATGATGAATGCCATTCAACTTTAGGAAATACTGAAATTCCCTGCTGGTAAATGATGGCCTGTCATCTGTAACCAACACCTCAGAGAGCGCATGTAATGAAAAAGATACTCGCAACTTTTCAATCATTGTCCCTGTGTTTGACAAATGAACTCTATGCATGTCCAACCACTTTGAATGAGCGTCCACAATGACTAAAAACATTGAGCCTATGAAAGTACCGGCATAGTCAATGTGTAACTGAGTCCAGGGTTTACCCAGCCATTCCCATGAATGTGGGGGAGAGCTACTGGCGGTTATTTTTGTCATTGTTGGAACGCTGGGCACTGCTCCACCAACACAGCTATGTAAGCATCCCAATCTTGTCACCACTGAAATAACTCCACAAAGACTTGTATCTAATCACTAACTCACCCTTTATTTATATGTGCATAGTACATTACACTGACCAAGCTAGCTCAAAGGGGTTTCTAGAGTGAACAGAACCTCTGACACTCCAGAGATATCAGCTGGAGTTCCCTGATTGGACCAGGTTAACAGCCCCAATCAGGGAAATCATACTCAATGAGGTCCATCTGGCTGATATTGTTCCAATCACTGCACAAAGGAAATGAGAAACATTACTAAGAGTACTATTAGCTTCTGAAACTCTGGCACAAGTACTTAGGAGAGCCCCTATCAAGTTAATGGGTAAAATGTTTACACTGTTAAGCTTATAACAGATCAAAGTACAATAAGTCTTAGTCTTCACTTCAAATCAGAAGGTTCAGGTTCTCAGATCAGAAGAATCAGGTGCTCCATTTAAAGGCTGAATCATTACTCTTAGCAGGCATATCAAATGTCTGTTTAGGGAAGCCAGGCAATATAGCCAAAGTGCTTTAATTAAGGGGTCTTCCTAACTGGGTCTTTTAAGTGATAAGAGCTGAAAAAGTTTATGTTAACAGTTGTGAAAGATTTATGTCTGTGGACTTGGAAAAGAATCATTAAAACAGTCTTCACAATCCAAAGGAAAAGAAACTGGTAGAAGTCAGTTATTTAAAAGTTTAAATTTGAGATAGAAGTGAACTTTCTTTGGAATTGAGTATCTGAAAAAGGATAGTATTGGGGAACAGGCTGAAGCTTTATGCTACTGTTTATGTTAAGATCTTTCTAACTGTTGATATCCACATTGTTTGGATTTCTTTTTCTTTTGTTTAATAATTTTATGCTTGGCTGTTAAAGACCATCTGCAGCCTTATGTGGATGTCTTACAGTGATGAACCACCCCAGTAACCAAAAATAAAATGTATGCTCTATTAAGCCAGGTCTCCTTCTTCCTAAATGTGACCATGGAAAGAATAAATGAAGCACTTAGTTTCATTTTAAAAGGGATAGAATTAAAAAGCACAGAAGTTATATTAGGTTTTTACAGAGCCTCAGTTAGGCCACTTCCACAATTTTCTGAATAGTTCTGGTCTTCTTGGATTAAAAGGCATAAAGAAGGTTCAAAAATTTAGTTACTGGGAAATACATGAATGAAAGGTGGATCAGGAAAGAGTTTAAAAAAAAGACTTGGCTGCCTTTCTATAGAAAAGAAGAGACTGAGGGCATAACTTCTAAGAGGTGTTTAAGATTATCAATGGATCTGAATGAATATGATTCCACTTGCAGCGAAGACCAATGTCAGATCCTTTGACACAAGGATGTGATACCCAGACAGGAAACTCTAAATGTGATCCCAGTTATCCAGGAGATGTCTTACATACTGGACTGTAGTCTTCTGTAAGCTTTTTTTTTTTTTGTCCATCCTGTTTAGCCATATTATTAATACAAAGTGTGCAGATAGAAAACTCCATCATATGGAAATGGTTAGCCTATATGGAGCTTCACACAATGAATGACTTGGTATGTAACTTTTAAAAAAAACTTTTCACAAGATTCAGACCCAAGATAAAATATTGCAGCTGATGCCAATGCAAAAATGAAAGTGAAAACAATTTTTATTCAGAAAACAAAAAATACTGGAACTACTCAGCGGATCTGCTGCATCTGGGTATTTTCAGTCCACTTTTAATTGATGGAATCTGTAATGCTTTGTTACTATGTCAGGATTTTTACTTGCTAGGCCCTGGAAGCATTGAAAGATGCTGGTTTGGTCAAATCAATTGGGGTGTCCAATTTTAATCGCAGGCAATTGGAGCTGATCCTGAACAAACCCAGTCTGAAGTACAAGCCAGCAGTAAACCAGGTACTGTCTGTTCCAACATATAATGGTTTAGTGTTTCAATCTGATTTATTTCAGCTGATATGGTGAAACCTGAGGGGCTCTCTTTGACCTGGCATTGTGTTCTACCACTCACCTTGTTCAGACAATTGTGTGGATATTATTGCTAATCACACCTTGGTCTGTAGCCCTCAGCCTGTAACACCTTCTCCTTTGTGTATCTGTCTTTCATCAAACCTCTGACATCTCACTCAACATCCTAATGCTCACCCAAATATATTGTAAAATTTCTCACCAAGATACCTTCATGGCTTTCTTCCTCTAGCTTCTACTACTGAGTAACTCTGATGTGAAGGTGCTAGTGTTGAACTGCAGTGGACAATGTCAGAAGTCACACAACACTAGATTATAGTCCAACAGGTTTATTTGAAATCAAAACCTTTAGGAGCACTGCTCCTTCATCAGGTGAAGCTAAGGCTGATCCAAATCTCCATTCTGCTCATTATATCCTTTTTATTTCCCTGAATCCCATATCCCGCTTTCCCCCCCGCAAACTGCATCCTCGAAATAAACTCCCCGTCTCTCATTAATGACTACCTGCATTGGGCCATATGCAGCCTCGAGCCTCCTCTATCTCTAGTAAACTCATGGCTGACCCTCGGTTCTATATTTTGTCCCACATCTTTTGACTGCCTTAGAATTAAACAATTCCCAACTTCTCTCTATTTTGAACCAAAACAGCCCACTCTCTTTATTCTAAGACTGAGTCTCCTCGTTGCAGACTCTCTAATCAGGGGACAGTCTCTAAACATCTGTCATTTGGTGCCCTCTTAAATTATTTATGCTTCAGTCAGATCATTCACATGTTTCTCTAGGGTACAAACCCATCAGACTTCAACTCTTATTAATAGATAATACTCTCATTCTAGGTATCAACGTTCTAACCCTTTTCTGCACAATCTCTCAAGTAAGCATAATCCTTCCATAGCAATGGAGCAAGACTGTACACAATATTTGAGGGTTGTCCCTCCAAACACCTGAACAATTGCTGCAAGACCTCAATTAAAATAAAACTAAGAACTGTGGATGCTGGAAATCTGAAACAAAAACGGAAATTGCTGGAGAAACTCAGCAGTTCTGGCAGCATCTGTGGAGAGAAAACAAAGTTAACATTTCGGGTCCAGTTACCCTTCTTCAGAACTCGGGCTTTGATTTTAGACTCTATTATTTGTCTTTTTGATTACTTTCTGTATGTGTTAACTTGCAGGAGGTCGCCAAATCTATCTAAATACAATATTTAGAGGTTTATCATTTAAAACATTTTGCATTTCTATTCTGAGCAAAATTCATACACACACTTGCCAGGATTACATTCCATCTACCATCTTTCTTTCACTTAACCCATGTATTTACCCATCTTAACTTCTCAGCAAAATGTGGATGTATTCTCTCCATAATATTGGTTTAAAAAGTAGATAAATTCCTGTACTGACCATATCACACTGATCAGAAACAAGCAACCAATTGGCAAATAATCTTGTTTTCTGCTCTTTAACAAATCCTCATTCTATCCTTAAATATTTCCCTCAACCTTTCACATAGCACTTTGCCACATGCCTTTTGAAAATCAAAATGCACTGGTTCCGCTAGCAGTTACATCCCTCAAAAAGAATCATTCATTTGTAAAGTAGGCCCCTGCCTGATCGTACTCTGATTTTCTAAGTGCCCTGTTGCTGCTCCTTTATTTATGGGTTTTCTCAGTGATTAATGCCAGACTAAAACTGGATGGTAATTCCCTGTTTGCTGCCTTCTGTAGTCATATCATGTTTGCTTATTTATGGTTCACTGGCACTTATCTCAATTCTGAGAAATCTATTCAGGGCCAATACATGTGTTTAATATTTCTGCTCTTTCTTTGACAAGCCCACATTGATATTCATTCCTGTCTTCCACGTTTTGCATACTGATGGATGCTCTGACAATCTTTTTTCTTGTTCTTCCCTCATTTAAGAAGTATTTAGATGTACACTTGCATGAAGCATACAAGGTTCTGGGCCAAGTCCTGGAAAATAGGATTGGGCTAGTTAGGTGGTTGTTTTTGACTGGTGTTACACAATGTGCTTTTACTGTGCTGTAGATCACTATGACTCAATGACTCGTTGACTCTGATGTTTTATTTTCCCCCTCTTTATCAATCTATGATCATCCTTTGCTGTACGCTGGTCAAAATGACAGCAACTTTCACACTTTTTTTTATTTTCCTTCTGCTCAGATCGAATGTCACCCATATTTTACCCAGCCCAAGTTCAAGGAGTTTTGTGACTCCCATGGCATTGTCATCGTGGGCTACAGCCCTCTAGGAACCTGTCGGGATTCGCTCTGGTAAGCAATCTTCTTACCTTTACCTCACTGACTCTCTAAGATGCTGACTCTTTTCCAGAATTAGCATTAGCTTTATTGTCACATTTACTCACATGAGTGCAGTGAAAAGTTTACAAAGTTGGCGCCATCTGAGGCACAAAGATACCTAGGTACAGTTTCTTAGGAATAAAATAAAAAATTAAAGGTTCAGCCTTGCAGTCCTTCAAGCACACCATGCTGAGCCTCCCCTCCAGACTGCGCCAGGTCTCGTCTCCAGACCGGGTCAGGCCTCGGCCTGGACCATGCCAAGTCAAGCCTCCAGACCGCACCAGGCCTCACCCCCACACCATGCTGAGCTGAGCTTCCAGTCGCACCAGGCCTCGCCTCCAGACTGGGTTAGGCCTTGCCCCCAGACCATGCTGAGCTGAGCTTTCAGTCTGTACCAGGCCCCTCCTCCAGACTGGGTTAGGCCCCTACCATGCCAGACCACGCTGAGCCGAGCCTTCAGTCTGCACCAGGCCTCGCCACCAGACTGCACCGGGCCTTGCCTCCTGTCTGCACTGGGACCTCCCCTCCATACCGCTCCAGGCCTCGCCTCAAGTCTGCATCTGGCCTCTCTCCCAGACTGTTCTGGGCCTTGCCTGCTTTGGGACCTTGCCTTCATATCAGTCTGGGCCTTGCCTCCTCCATTCTGAATCAAACTCAACAGCCAATCACCCACTGAGTTCCCAAGTCCAGGCTCCAGATCTATTGAAGCCAGGGGTACCTGAGCCAGGCAACGCCATCACTGCTGCTGACAACAGTCTGATACCCATCCAGATAGCCATAACATCAGAATATGAAAGAAAAGAGAAAGATGAAGACAGAAAAGGAGGGGGACAGAGAAGAATGCAGACTACTTGGAGCATAGGGTTCAGGAGTCCCAATACTCCCTACAATGCCAGTGCCACCATCTTGGCAAATGGGGCACGGTTCCAGAGTTAACGATTCTCCTTGTGTGAGGGCAGGACAGTGGAGAGGGATGGGAGAGGGGATTAGGGGTGATGAGGGAGGGTGAGAGGACAAGAGGTGGTGTTTCCATTTCCCTGCCATACACTTGGCATTTTAACCAGTGATGGCTCCAGCCCAAAGGCTAATTTTGCCTTTTATGTTACCAATTAAGGACTTCAACCCACTGGTAGTTTAGCAGTGGCAGATTTGTCTATCACCATGCAGGCAGAACACCAAGTGAGACCCTCAGTGGGCACAAGAGACTAGGTGGAGTGTGTTGAACAGGAATCATGTCAGAGTGGTGAAGAAGGCAATTGGTACACTTGCCTTCCCTGGTCAGTGCATTAAGTATAGGATTGAAATGTCATATTGCGACTGCACAGGACTTTGGTTAGGCCAGTTTTCGAATACTGTGTTCAGTTCTAGGTGCCTTCTATAGGAAAGATGTTTTTAAGCTTCAAAGGGTGCAGAAAAAATGTACAAGGATGTTGCTAGTGCTGGAATGTTTCAGCAATAGAGAGAAGCTGAATAGACTGGGGCTTTTTTCTCTGGAGCATCAGAGGCTGAGGGGTGACCTTTTATAGAGGTTTATAAAATCATGAGCATGGATAGATAGGGTGAATAGCCAAGGTCTTTTCCCCAGGTTTGCAGAGTCCAAAAGTAAAGGACATTGGTTTAAGGTGAAAGAACAAAGATTTAAAAAGTACCTGACGAGTAACTTTTTCACACAGAGGGTGGTGTGTGTATGGAACAAGCTGCCAGAGGAAATGGTGGAGGTGGCTACAATCATAACATTTAAAAGGCAGCTGGATGTGTATTTGAATAGTAAGGGTTTAGAGGGCTATGGGCCAAATGCTGACAAATGGGTCTGGGTCAGGGTCAGATTGGGATGTCTGGTTAGCGCGGATGAGTTTGACTAAAGGGTCTGTTTCCGTGCTGTATGACTCTGTCCTGTCCTGTTGTCGGGACAGACCCAGCAGAGGTGGTGGCACAGCAGCATAGTTGGGAGGGAGTTGCCCTGTGAGTCCTCAACACTAATTCTGGACCCCATGAAGTCTCATGGCCTCAGGTTAAACATGGGTAAGGAAACCTTCTGCTGATTATCACGTATCATCCTCCCTTGGTTGATGATTCAGCACTGACGGTGGCAATGGTACAAAGTATACCCTGGTCGGGAGATTTCAAAGTCCACTAACGAGTGGCACAACAGCAGCATAGATTCAGAGTCATACAGCATGGAAACAGACTCTTCAATCCAACAAGTCCATACCAATCATAATCCCAAACTAAACTAGTCTAATCTGCCTGCGCTCACCCCATACTCCTCCAAACCTTTCCTATTCATGTACTTACCCAAATGTCTTTTAAATGTTGTAACTGTACCTGCACTCACCACTTCCTCTGGAAGTTTATTCCATACACAAACCACTCTCTATGTAAAGAAGTTTACCCTCATGTCCTGGTCAGATTGAAAAGGACACTGCTGCTAGACCAGTAGGGTGGCAGGGCAGCATGGTGGCTCAGTGGTTAGCATTGCTGCCTCTAAGCGGCAGGGACCCAGGTTCGATTCCACCCTCGGGCTGTGTGGAATTTGTACATTCTCACCGTGTCTGCGTGGGTTTCCTCCCACAGTCCAAAGATGTGCAGGTTAGGTGGTTTGGCCATGCTAAATTGTCCATAGTGTTCGGGGATGTGTAGATTTGGTGAGTTATAAGGGGATGGGTCGGTGTGGACTTGTTGGACTGAAGGACCAACAGGTATTCTATGAAACCAAGTCTGCAGCAGGTGGTAAGGAAACCAACAAGAGGGGGAAAAAACATACTTGACCTCATCCTTACCCACTGCTGGCAGCAGATGCATCTGTCCATGACAATATTGGTAAGAGTGACCACCAAAGTCCTGCCTTCCCATTGAGAAACCCTCCATTCTGTTGTGAGGCATTATCACAGTGCTAAATTGGACAGACTCCAAATAGCAACACAAGACTGGGCATCCATGAGGTGCTGTGGGCCATCAACAGGAGCAGAATTATACCTCTGCACAATCTGCACCTTCATAGCCTGGCATATTCCCCACTCAACTACTACTATCAAGCCAGGGAATCAACCCTGGCTCAATGGAGTGCAGGAGCAGCACCAGGTATAACAAAAAATGGCAGCTTCACCAGGTTGACATTTCTGAAAAGACTACTTGCATGCTGAACAGCTAACTGATCCCACAGCAATGGGTCAGATCTAAACTCTGCAGTCCTGCCACATCCAGTCATAAATGATCAACAATTAAATAACTGACTAGAGGAGGAGGCTCCACAAATATCCCTATTCTCAACGATGGAAGAGCCCAGCATATCAGTGCAAAATACTAGGCTGAAGTATTCACGACAATCTTCAATCAGAAATGCCAAATGGATCATTCATCTTAGCCCAGCATGACAGATACCAATCTTCAGTCAATTTGATTCACTCTATGTTGGAGACAGTGGATACTGCAAAGGCTATGGGCCTTAACAACATTCCGGCAATAGTACTGACAAGCTGTGCTCCAGAATTTGCTGCTCCCCTAGCCAGGCTCTTCCAGTAAAGTTACAACATTGGCATCAAACTGACAATGTGTAAAATTGCCCAGGTATGTCCTGTGCACAAAAAGCAATCCAGACAATTACCACCCTATCAGTAACGTGATGATAGGGGTCAGTGCTATGAGGCAGCACCTGCTCAGCAATAATCTGGACTGCAGTCCCCAAGCCCAATGAATATGTTCTCAAGTCTCCTTTTCTGGAGCAGTGCTCCCCACGCTCACTTGTTTCATCCCAATTTCCTTTTCCCAAGTTTCTCTGGTTGGTCCTGATGGACTGACAGTGGCCCACCCTTTGAGTGGCTGAACTAGACAATCCTAGAGGACAGGTGCCCAGACCCTTACGTGATTGCTGTACATCTCCCTGACTGTTAACTCTAGACCCAGATTGACTGTATCTACTCCCTGGCGTGCAGTGTCACAGTCTCTCTAATGGACAACACTCCAACTGGGCACCTGACCATGATCAATCCCCTGCACAGGTTTTGGAGACTTTCCTTGACTCTCTGTGCCAGGGAACCCCCTGACAGATGGGTGCCTCCATGGGCTTTGGTGGGGACTACTGCTGTCAGACTTTGAGAGAAACCTGCCCGCTTGCTGCAAACTCAGTGTTTATGGTGTAAGCTGCTGGCACATGGAGTGGGTATGTGATTGATGCAGCGGACTGCTGTACAAAAAGATGTCCAACCCCTTTGACTGAAGACAGGAGGGCAGGCTGCCTGGCTATTGGTAGGGAAGAAAGGACAAGAAATGGATGCTGTGAGCAGGCAGGTAAGCTGTAAATGAGTAAGCATGAACAGAACAAACAAGCAGTCCTGAGGTGCAGCCTAGTCCAATCCCTGTACACAAGGTGCCCTTAAAGCAATCTTTTGATGCTAGTTGCTGGTGTGGTTTGCAAAGCAGCTCTGTACTCCCCCAGTGACCTTGAACAGGATCAGAGAGGCTCTTCATAAGTATTCACCAAGTAACTCCTCTCACCTCCATGTCGAGATTTCTCAATATCTAGCTTGTTTGGGGGTTTTGGTAAAACCGGGAACTAAGTATTATTTTGTTTTCTTTTGTTTTACCCAGAAGTGCTATTATACACAACTGAGCAACTTCCTGCCACCAAAATCACACTGACTCTTTTTGCATTTTTTAACTATTAATTGCCACCAATAAAAATATCCACATAGCCAAATGAATATTTGCTAGCAAAGCCCATTATGGACAATGCAAACCATCAAAGATGAGGGGGTTGTAGGGAAAGTGGGAAGGAACTAAATCAAAATGGAGGGGAAAAAAAAACTCATTTTTTTTTAAGCAAGGGAGCTGATCATGCAATAACTACCTCGGTCTGGCAACTTGCTGCAGCCAAGTGAAGGTTTACAAATTGATGATCAACTTGAGAACCCTCCTAGTGGCACAGTGGTAGTGTTCCTACCCTAGAACCAGGAGACCTGGATTCAAGCTCCACCTGCTCTAAGGTGTGTAATAATATCTCTGAACAGGCTGATTAGAAAAACAGGTTAAATTAAAAAAAAAAATAAAAAAAAAATTGATGATCAGCTTGTTAGGGACACATGCTGTGTTCAGCAATTCCTGAAGGGGGACTTGAGCCTAAAGTTTCTGGCTCAGAGCTAATGTTAGTAACTCTACTTAGGAAGATGGTCGTAGTTGTTAGAGGTAAATCATCTCAGCTCCAGGACATCTCTTCAGGAGTTCCTCAGGGTAGTGTCCTAGGCCCAAACATCTTCAGCTGCTTCATCAATAACCTTCCCTCTATCGTAAGGTCAGAAGTGGGGATGTTTGCCGACGATTGCACAATGTTTGGCACCATTCGTAATTCCTCAGATACTGATGCAGTCCATGTTCGAATGCAAAAAGATCTGGACAATATCCAGGCTTGGACTGACAAGTGGCAAGTGATATTCATGCCACACAAATGCCAGGTTATGGCTATCACCAATAAGAGACAATCTAACCACTGGCCCTTGCCATTCAATTGTGTTACCGTTACTGAAGCCCCTACTATCAAAATCCTGGGTGTTATCAGTGACCAGAAACTCGACTGGACCCACCATATAAACACAGTGGCTACAACAGCAGGCCAGAAGCTAGGAATGCTGCGACAAGTAACTCATGTCCTGACTCCTCAAAGCCTGTCCACCATCTACAAGGCACAAGTCAGAAGTGTGATGGAATACTCCCCACTTGCCTGGATGAATGCAGCCCCAACAACACTCAAGCTTGACACCATCCAGGACAAAGCAGCCTGCTTGATTGGCACTACATCCTAAAGCATCCACTCCCTCCACCACTGACTATCAGTAGCAGCAGTGTATACTATTTACAAGATGCACTGCAGAAATTCACCAAAGATCCTCAGACAGCACCTCCCAAACCCACAACCACTCCTATCTAGAAGGACAAGAGCATCAGATCTATGGGAACACCACCACCTCAAAGCACCCATCCAAGCCACTCACCATCCTGATTGCAGAAATATATCGCTGTTCCTTCACTGTCGCTGGGTCAAAATCCTGGAATTCCCTCCCTAATAGCATCGGGGTCAACCCACAGCAGGAGGATGGCAGCAGTTCAAGAAGGCAGGTCACTACCACCTTCTCAAGGGCAACTAGGGATGGGCAAGAAATACTGGACAACCAGCAACACCCACATCCCATAAATGAATAGGGCAAAAGTAAACTGTACCATAAGATTGTTGCTCAATACTTATCTGCCCCAGAACAGATTACCAGTCAGCTTATTGCCTTGGTGTTTGTGGGATTTTACTGTGGTCATTTTGGCTACTGCATTTCTGCAACAGGGCACTTTTAAAATGTTTAATATCTGTAATTGACTGACTCGATCGATCAGTATTCACTAATCACAGCAATCCCGCATGGGCCTCAGTGAAATGATCCAAGATTCTGCACTGGCTATTTCTCGTCGGACTGATTGTTAACTTCAGATCCCTTCTGGGTAGCGTGAGTGTGGGCTGACAGCCAGTGAGGATTTGGCTGTGAGACCTCAACCGTTAAATGGCTCCATAACCATACCCATCCTCACTCCGGGAAAGGTATCACTAGCTGCGGAATTGTATCCAACAAAGTGAAACATTATGAAGGGGATACAATTTAGGAGGAATCTTTAAGCAGAAATGTAAAGCTTGTCTTTGTCTGCAGGGTGAACGTCAAGATTCCCTCTCTGCTGGATGACCCTGTGTTAAACTCTGTGGCAGCAAAATACAAGAAAACCAGCGCCCAGGTAGCCCTGCGTTTCCAGCTTCAGCGAAACATTGTCATCATTCCAAAAAGTTTTAACCCAGAGCATATCAACCAAAACTTTGAGGTATGAATCTGGTTAGTTGTTTTACTCTGAGCTGCGGCTTTGTTCCATTTGTATTTAACATTGTGATCTAGCTGCAGTGCTGACTGAGGTCTCACTGATCTATGCTGATGTCTCTGTTCCACGTGACCCTCCTGTCATCTCTCTTCATCTGAGCCTTTCAAAGTAGCTTTAGTCCCTTTCTTGCTCATCGATGAAAGGCATTCTGTAATATTCACATCAACTGTTTCTTACTGTCACAAGTTGCACATTTATAATCATTTTCTGACAAGAGGTTTTTCCTGAATTGTGATTAATTAGTCACAATCCTATTTTCATGGTTTTGGAATCTTCTCCATAAAGAATCTTCTATAGTTTCAGCCTTTCATTTTAAGAACAGAAGGGCTGGAGTCAGCCATTCAGCCCCTGATACCTAATCATGACAGAATATTGATAGCCCATAGATCTCAGAAGGATACGGCATCGATAGAGAGCTGTTTTTAATATCCCTATGTAAATAAAGAGTTCAGACTACAATGCATAGAGGAAATTTTACTCCACATTAGGAACAGCTGGGCAGTGCAAGAATGAAAAGAGCAAACACAAACATTTCTGCAGTCAGAGCACAATCCACAGCTGATTTTTGATGAGAGTAGTTAGTCTTAGTTGTCTCAGTAGCCACAGGAGATCACAGTCCAATTTGTCCTGCCTTACCTTACTCCCTTAAAGAAACTGTAGCTTGATGTTCCCTTGGTCATTTCAGATGTGATGTTCCAGGCGTCCTATCCAAACAGTCACTGAAGTTACATGAACAATCATCTTTGGCTGTATGTCTTTTCAAAAACAATATGTTCTAATTTCAAGTCCAATATACCTGTAAGTGATTTGGGGTTAGGATCCATTAATGTGACAGTACACAGGACAGCACCCATCAAATTCAGCATTTTCTGCCCCTGATCATGGGGTTTTAATTATCAATGCAACTGAACCCCACCACCCAAGTCGCCTCCCACACCCCCCACAGCAATCTCCTTGGACCTCCAATATTTCCATTTTGGAAGTCTTCTGTTATATCCTTATCATATCAAAGATGAATGGTCTCACATCAGCCTGTACTGAATCCATTTACAAGAGTTTATCCAATTACTTAGTCTATCAGCATCTCTGTCATTCTATATTTTCATCTACACCACACACAATACCACTTATTTTTGTGTCATCAACTCATTTGGATATATGATTTTTATTTATTCCATCAAAAAAATTAAGGTTCTACAACAGATCCTTGAAAGACACCGCTGAACACCCTGTGCCCACTGGATTATCAGCCTGTTTTCCTATTCTCTACCTCCCACTCCTTAGCCAATTTCCAAACCAGGTCAATACAATTTTCCTTTACAGTAATTTCATAGGTTATAAATGTCTTTAACAGTCACTTGTAAAGTCACAGAATCAAAAAGATCTATAGTACCCAAAAAAAGCCATTTGACCCTTCACATCCTACACTAGGCAAAAACAACCACTATTCAACTATTCCAACCCCATTTTCCAGCACTTGGCCCTGAGTGTTGTCATCGCAAGTGCACATCTAAATACTCCTTCAATGTTATGAGGGTTTCTGCCTTGACCACCCTTATAGGCAGTGAGTTCCAGATTCCCATCGTCCTCTGTATGAAAAAGTTTTTCCTCAAATCCCCTACAAACCATCTGCCCCTTACCTTAAATCTATGTCCTCTGGTTATTGATCCTTCCATCAAGGGCAAAAATTTCTTCCTGAATACCCTATATATGCTGCTCATAATGTTATGCAGCTCAATAATATCCCCTCTCAATCTCCCCTGCTCTAAGGAAATCAACACCACTTTGTCCAATCTCTCTTCATAACAGAAACTTTCCAGACATCCTGGTAAATCTCCTCTGCACCTCCCCAGTGCTATTACAATGCTCCTATAATGTGGATTCTAGAACTGCAAACAATACTACAGCTGTAGCCTAACCAATGTTTTATATAGTTCCACCATAGCCTCCCTGCTCTTAAACTCTAAGCCTCAGCTAATACAAGCAAGTATTCCATCTGCCTTCTTAACCATTTTATCCACCTGTCCTGGTACCTTAGGGACCAGTGGACGTGGACACCAAGATCCCTCTGATCCTCGGTGCTTCCCAGGGTCCTACTGTTCATCATGTATTCCCCTGTCTTGATTGCCTGCCCAGGTGCGTCACCTCACATTTATTCAGATTGAATTCTATTTGCCACTGATCAGTCCATCTGACCAGCCCATCTATATCCTCTTGTAACCTTAGGCTAAGTTCCTCACAGTTTACCAAACTACCAATCTTTGTATCATCTGCAAACTTACCAGTCAACCCTCCTACATTCAATTCTAAATCATTTATATGATCCACAAATAGCAAGGGCCCCAACATTGACCCCTGTGAGATCCCACTGAATACAGATTTTCAACCATCACCCTTTGCTTCCTGACAGTCAGCCTAATTGTGGAGTCAATATTGTGTGGAGCTGGAGGAACACAGCAGTAAGGCAGCATCAGAGGTCCTGATGAAGGGTTCCCACCCGAAACATTGACTTTTCTGCTCCTCTGATGCTGCCTGACTTGCTGTCTTCCTCCACACTGTATTGATTCTGACTCCAGCATCTTCAGTTCTTGCTATCTCCAAGTGACTAAAAGCCCAATTGTGGATCCAATTTGCCAAATTTGCTTGGATCCCATGGGATCTTCCTTTGCTATTAGTCCCCCTTGTGGGACGTTATCAAATGCCTTGCTGAAGTCCAAGTAGACTACATCAAAAGCAATGCCCTCTTCTACACGCCTGGTCCCCTTTAGAAGAAATTCAATCAAATTGATCTTGCATGACCTCACTTTATCAAAACGATGCTGATTGTTCTTTATTAATCCCTGCCTCTACAAATGATCCTGTCCCTCAGAATTGCTTCCAACAGATTCCGTACACTGATGACCAGCCTGTAGTTTCCTGGTTATCCCTTGCACCCTTCTTGAATAACAGTACCAGACTGGCTGTCCTCCAGTCCCCTGGCACCTCTTCTGCAGCCTGAGAGAAATTAAAAACTTTTGCAACCATCCCTGCTATTTCCTCCCTGCCTCACTTAATAACCTAGGATACATTTCATCTGGCCCTGAAGAATTAACTATTTTTAAGCTTGCCAAACCTCCTCTATCTATGCTAATTTATTTAATTGTATCACAGACCTTCTCCCTAGTTTCTACACCCATGCCACCTTTCTCCCGAGTGAACAATGACATACAGTATTAATTTAGAATCCGACCAACATCCTGTGGCTCCACAAATTACCATTGTGGCTCTTAATGGGGTCTACTTTTTCCCTGGTTATCCCTTCACCCTTACAGTACCTGTAAAGCAACTCAGGATTTTCCTTTATTTTCCCTGCCAGTATCCTTTCAAATCCACTTTAAGCTTTCTAATCTCCCTTTTAAGTTCCCTCTCGCATATTCTATACTCCCCTAGGACTTCTGCTGTTTTCAACCCTTGGTTTTTGCAATAAGCCTTTTTCTCTGAATCCAATCCTGAATATCCCTCAATATCTAGAGCTCACAGAATTTGGTGGTTCCACCCTTTCACTTAATTGGAACATACACCGAACTTTATCAAAGATCTCCTGGAAGTCCTTCATAATAAGATCCATAGGTATTTCACTATCCACTACTTTAGTCACATCTTCAAAATGATCAGCTTCATGAGGCATGATCTACCCTTTACAAATGCATGCTAGCTCTTCCTGATAGGCTGAAAAAATCAAGGAGACTCAAACCTTCATTAATTCCAGTCATTTCACAACAACACATGTTGGGCTAACTGGTCTATACCCTCACATTTCCTCTCTCACTGTTCTTAAATAGCTGGATGATATGCTTTCATTTCTACAGGAATGGCTCATGTACTGAGTGAACTTTGGAAGATTAAAGTTAGGGGACCTGTGGCCTAGACCCTGGAATGAAAACGATCTGTATCTGGAGTGAGGTAGAGGGTTGTCACTCTTCAGCGTCATCATTTTCTTCATTATTGTTGCTTTGCTTATGCTAACCTTTTTTGAGTTCCTGTCCCTAATTCATTATGATTTCCTTTGCGTGTCTGATTAGCTGCTCTTTTCCTTTTCTTCCCTTAAATTTGATCTTCAGGGTTCAACCTTTGTTTTTCTTTCTTTCTTAGATTTTTGACTTTTCTTTGACAAGTGAAGAAATGAAAATGATTAGCGCTCTCAACAGGAATGAACGATATGTGGAACTTTTGATGTAAGTTTATTGTTCCCTATCAGAAACATGATATTCCACATCGAACACAGCCTCCACACACTCAATATAAAATCCTAACCAATCCTGATGACTCATCGAAAGATATGTTCCATTTGCTGCCTTATTGGTCATAAAGAGGCTAATCTCATCCTCCAACATCACTGCCCAATGGCAGTCATTGTATAATCATCAGTGGTAAGTTGATCCGTTTATCCACACCACTGGCACCGAGATCAATTGGACCGTCTTTATTGCCACTCAGCTGAGACTGACCAACTCAGCAAATCAAGACTTTCATGTGTTGGCTTCCCCTAACCGTCAATCTTTGTTCCGTCCCTGCAGGTGGAAGGATCACCCAGAATACCCATTCAACGATGAATACTGAGCTCCAAAGTTTGTTGTCAGAGGTGTCTAGGAGCAAGAGTAGGAGTAATGCCGGATTCCAGGATGAAAAGGGATAAAACCACATTGGAGCCAAAGTTCCAAACAAAGTACAAGTCAAAGTACAACAGAGAAAAGTAATTGAAAATAAAAACAAGTCTGAATGAATCTTTTCTTTTCTTACTTGGTCACATCTAGAATTGCAAGTGATTAACAGATAATCCATTAAAGTGCAATGACTCTTCAAGAAACAGATTGCAAGAGTCATTTCAAATCAGACAGCGGGTTTTTCTGTTCTTATTGTTGCTAACTAGCAATAGAGAGAAAGTGAATTTCCATCGTCCGGGGGGAAGATTTTGAAGTTCAGTTTAGTTGCTGAATGTTGGCCATTTCTGAGTTGCCATGCATGACAAACTTGAGCAACCTCACTTTGTTTTGTTGTGCATCTCCATGTAGCACTGGCTGTGTTTGTGACACGAGTGTCTTCAGAGGTGGAAGCACTAATTTTGGCTCTCTTTCTCTCTCTCCTCACAGACACTCCTTCCCCACCATTCCCCCAGTCTTTTTTTTCTTCTTCTCTTCCCCCCACCCCTTGATTCTCTCTGTCACTCTTCACAGTTCTTCCCTCTTTCCAAATTTTTCTCCCTCTGTGTCTCCTTTCACAAGATCCTATGTCTCTCATCCCAGACTTTCTCTCTTGCCCCAGTCTTACTTTCTCAGCCCAGTCTTTCTCTCTTGCCCTTCTATCTCATTACCCTCCACCCAACCTGCTTGCCACAGGCATTCTCTTTATCCTAGATCTCCCTGTTCCCCCCAGTCTTTCTTCTTCTCTCACCCCACTCCCCCAGTCTCTCTCTCTCTCTCACACTCTCGCTCTCTCACTCTCTGTCTATCTTCACCCAGTCTCTCACTGGTGAGGTTTAGATCTGGTGTGAATCTCATTCAGAATGCAATGCTGACACACCACTGAATCTTAGTATGAATGTCACAGGGAGTTGAGTCAGAATGCAGTCTTTAACTTGGGGCATGGACATGGTGCCAACCACAGCCCTCTCCAGTTGGGTCTGGGTGGGTTCCCTCCTGTGGATTGTCTTCAGAATGAGAGCATCAGTATTTATATTCTTTTTGCCTGGCCTGTACCAGATCTGGTATTGAAACTGTGTGAGTTCAGTTGCCCATTGGGTTACTGTCTTGGCGGATATTCAAAAGTAGCTCAATGGATTGTTGTCAGTGAACACTTCAAACTCTGCACCAATCAGAAAGTCTCTAAACTTCTGGGGAAATAGGCCACCTCAAAGTGATCAGATTGAGTTTCATACTGGAGTAATTCTCCATGTTCCTCTCACTCGCTTTGAGACTCCGATTGACTTGAGGTATAACCATTCTCTCCTGCTTGAACCTGTGACAGCGCCACTCCTTGGCCAAGGAAACTGGTGGTGGTTTATAGTACATAAGGGAGTTGGAAATTCGAGCAATCAAGTCTGGGTGATGATATGAGCTTCTGTTTGAGGCTGTAAAACAGTCTTCACATACTGGGCTCTAACTCCCTCTAATGCTCCATGAATTATCACTCCTCATATATCCTTTCCAACAGGTTCCTACAGCTTTTTCTTATTCATTCTCAGCAAATCATGGAATGGGTCAGTCAACCGGGCACAGCCTTGTATAAACCTCCAATAGTAACCAGCTGGACCAAGGAACCCACACTGGTCACTCTGTTGCTTAGGCCAGGGCCACTCCTCTATCTCTCAGATTTTCTCATCATCACCAAGAATGTCTTCCTTGGTAACAGCATGCCCAAGGATTGAACCTTACTCTTAAAAATATTGGCACTTCTCTGGTTTGACATTCAACTTAAGCTTCAAGAAGTAGGCTAAGATAATGTCCAGTCTTACAAAGATTTCCATGAAGGTCAAGCTGAAAGTAAGTACATCGCCTAGATACACAAGGAGGGAGTGGAAATTAAAGTCACCAGAAGCTTTATCCAATCCACGCATGAAAGTGGCAGGGGCATTACAGACTGAAATGGCATTCTTGTGTATTGTAAAGTTCCCAGTGCCTGTTGGGAATGGCTGTCTCTTCAATATTGTGTTCAGCGATGAGAAGCTTATTATAACCATGAGCTAAATCAAGAGTGCAGAAATAGTTTACACCTTTGAGAATGGGTAATGCTTCCTCAATCCAAGGTGAGCATCCTTATGAGGCTTTGCATTGAATGCCTGATAATTGACGTAGATGTTCAGTTTTCTATCTTTCTTCCTCATGGCAATTGTGGGGGAGATGGACTGACTTGTTGAGATCTGAATGACATCTCGTTCCAAAGGTAGCCCTGGACTTCCTCCCCAGTGATGGGCTGGGATCCTGCAGTAAGGAATCATTACTTCACTCACAATCCTTTAGCTCACCAGAAAACAATATCCGACTTCATCATCATCTTTACTGTAAGTTGTCACCTACTTGTTGAAAGCAGAATCAAGCTGTCTCATCTGGGGCCCCTCCAATTTCTATCTGTAAAATGAGGTCAGAAATGTCTCCTTCACTCAGTCCACTGGCCACAGCAGCAGCAGGTTTAGGGACACCTCTGGGTTTTCTTGGTTGGAGATAAACATCTCCGTTACTGAAATTGGTGATTGACCTAAGTGGCCTCCCCTTTTCTCCCTCAGCGATGAGGACAGCTCCCAGAGTTACATCAAGTGGGACCTCTGCTACATGTGACATGTGATGTTCTAGCAAGGCCTGATGTTGACCAGCTGGAGATTGCTGGCGTGAGATTTCAAGACCAATGATCACTGGGGCAGTGGATTTAAAAAAGCCCAATTCCCCGCTACCTGAACAGTTGTATACACCTGTACAGGTTTATACATGCTGATTGCACTAAGAAAGGTCAAGGATGACTGTGCCCTATATGCCAACCTTGCGATGTGCAGTCATCATACATGATTTCTGATGATGCCCAAATATCTCTTAATACATTCAACCCCAACCCCATGGGTACTTTCAACATCCTCACTTCCAATGGAGTGTCGATTGAGTCGCAATCTACCAGAAAACCCACAGCATGAAGAGTGTGAATGAGAGCTTCCTATTCTTCTTAAAATGTCCAATTTATTTATTTAAATGATCCAATTTATTTATTTCAATGTGCACAATGTGTTCACATTGTTCTGAATTTTACACACATTCAAATACAGAGCCTTCCATTTTCTTTTTGTCTTAATTGTTAATGCAGTCTTTGTTTTTTACCTCTATCTCTTCCTGCCATTCTCTGACCCTTACTTCCCAGATGACTGTTTTCATCTCCTACATTGTCTCCACTTTTTGAGTAACCACATTTTTCCACATTTGATCCTTGTCCTTCATTATTTAGTGTAAAACCCTCTCTACAACCCTCATAATGGGGCTGACCAGAACATTGGCCCTAGCACAATTTAGTTGCAGGCTGTGTCAGGAGTACTGGCCCAGTCTGCAATGCTAGTTCCAGCACCCCATCACCTAGAGGCAATCTCTCCTACTCAAAACATTGAGCCAGGTCTTCATCTCAGTGATGCCAATCTCCAGCCTTTTCCCTTTATTCTGATTTTCCAATTTAATAATAATATCCTCCTAATATCCTCCTATATGCCTCAATTGAGTCTGCCTTCACTACATTTCCAGGCAGTGCATTCCAAATCTGAACTACTTCTGTGTTTTCTTCACAGCTCACAGTTAGCTTCTTTTGCAAAACACAGTTTAGCGACCCTGGTCCTCAATCCTCCTGACAGCAGGAACAGTTATTTCACCATTCATTTGTCCAGACTCCTCATGATTTTGCAAACTTCTATCAGATCTCATCTCTGCCTTCTCCTTTCCAAGTCTCAATTTCTCCACTCTATCCTCAGAACTGAATTTTCTCATCCCCGGAACCTGTCTCATAAACCTCTTCTGCAATATCTTCACTGCATTCACATTCTCATGCTGGTGTGACATTGATGGCTGTCCACAATATTCCAGCTATGGTCTAACTAGTATCCTAGGTACTGTAAATACAGTGTAGAGCTGGAGGAACACAGCAGGTCAGGCAGCATCAGAGGAGCACCACATAACTTCTCTGCTGTTGTACTCTATGTTTCTGTGAACAAAGACTAATAGCTCTCTACTTGTCCTGCCACCTTTAATTAATTACTACGTTTACAACTAGGTCTCTCTGCTTCTGTACACTGTATACAATAGGGCAATGTTTGCTGACACTGGAACTGCAGATAAACTGCATGCACACGCTCACTCGGAAACTCGCATGTGCATGGTTCGAGACTCGTTACATCGTTGCTTCATTCTTGAAGTCTACACTGCACGCATGTACACGGAACAGGTGTAACATTCAAATGGGAATCAGATGGGGGTGGGGAGGAAGGTGACAACGAGTGCCCGGGAGTTGGGTATGTGTCTATATGTTTGTGTGCTCTGTTTGTATCTATGTGTGTTCTGTTTGTACCCGTGTATGTACTTCTGTTCATGTGTCTGTGTGTGTATCTCCATACATGTGCAAGGGTGTTCTGTTTATATCTATGTGTGTTTGAGTGTGCCTGTGTGTGTATGTGTGTGTGTTCTGTTTGTATCTATGTTGTGTATGTGTCTGTCTCTGTGTTCTGTTTGTATCTATGTTTGTATCCTTCTGTTCCCCTCTTCTCGGGTCCCAATCTCCCACCTCGCCCCTGCTCCCTGAATCCATTTGTATGCTCATGTATGTTTAAAACTGGTGTATACGTGCTGGAGTCAGCAAACACAGTCTTCCAATAATGCTCTTTGTTTTAAACTATCTCTCCATATTCTTGGCACCAAAAACTACTACTGTTCTCTGTGCTGAACTTCATCCTGCCACCTGTCTGCCCACTCCACCAACTTGTCAAAGTCCTTTTCGAGTTTCATACAACCCTCCTTTCATACTCCCAAACTCTGTATCATCTACAGGCTTTGAATTGTCACCTGTACATCAAGATCTAGTTAATGCATATATAGGAAAAAGGCATTTTACTATGATGATATTTGTTACTCTGTGGTGACTGATGTTTTTTTCTTCAATATGATTTATCGGTTATATGCATGGAATGTACTAAAAGAGGGCATGGGGAGGTTATGACTCTTCAAGTGCACAACATACATATGATATGGAGGTTTGCAGTAATGGCCAT